ATGAGCAGTACCAGCAATGGTACGATCAGTTTTCTCATCCTAGACTCTTGCCTGACAGTCTGCCGGACGACGAAGCCGTCCCTTCGCGCGCCAACACCGGTTATGTAAGTCGTTTACCAAATTTTAGTTATTGTGCTTTCATTAAAATAGTAAGTCGTTTTTTAATATATATGTGATAATATTTTTACTTCTGTTTTTATGTGTAGTGGGTGAATCGGTTATTCTCCGCATCATCAGACCTCCTGCGGGATTTTGAGGTTGTTGATCCTGCTGTGGCGGCGCGTCATGCAGATACGCTGGCCCTAATTAAGGCGGATTGGGAAAGGGCGCAGCGTTGATGTAATAAATATATTTTTTTTTATTTTATTTTGGATTTTGTTGTACGATGAATGTTATTTGAATTGTTTTTTTTTTTTTTTTTTTTTTTAACTGTTGTTGCTTCATTTTATTTTCATTTATTTCCAAATGTTATACCACAATCCAACTCAAAAATTCCATAATATCACGTGAAACGGTAAACACTGTCAAATATCACAATATATCTATCATAATGCAGAATAATATAATGAATGTCATCAATCGCAACAAACATAAGTCGAATATCATAATATATCAAACTCCAGTTCCTCTACGAATATGCCGCCAATACTCGATCCTTGTCTGATACTGATCATCCCATCCTGCAACCGTCGCATCTCGGAATGTCCGCCAAAGGTTACAAATAGGCGGTAATGGACAATCAGATGACAGATTCAGACGAATGAAGTGTTTGTAAGAACCAAGATGACCTATGGCGATCTCGCGGTCAGGTCTTGTAGCCGTGGATGGTGCGCACAACGGCAAAAATGTCATGCTATTGAAATCGATATTGTCATTTTTGTCACCACTGCCTAACAACACCACAAGTACATTATATACTGTAGCAATAGCAAAGAAGTCACCTACAACTTCCATCCAATGCTCCTCGTTACAAGGCCCCCCTTCCCATCTTATCCGATCGATTGCTCTGTCGGTTTCATAGTAAAACACAGGATCGTACAACTGTCTGTTGGCTACAATCTCATTTGCAATGTTCCTTCTTACGGTTGGCCACCTCAACTGGTTCATGTGCATGTAACTCGCAACCACCCGAAATCCGCAGTTCCCATCCGGCGTCACATCCAGATAGCTCTCTACGTAAGGGTGGATTACGTAGGGAATTCTCCAATAATGCGGATATTCGTAGAAAACCGTCGAGAAAGTATCTGTAATATCATAATAATTTCACGTCACAAATTAGATAATCGAACTTACAAACATAATTAGTTATCGTTCAACATAAACAAATAAATAAGAAAAAAAAATCACCTGTCGGCTCATCTGAATGTTGAGAAGATGAGCTTGTCGGTGCACACGAAGAAATGTTGTTACGCCCCACCGGACGACCTCTTTCCCTGTAATCCCATACCGGTGGAGCACACGAAGAAGTGCTTTTACGCCCCACCCGGCGACCTGTTTCGGTGTACTCCGACTTCCATGGAGCACACGAGGAAGTGCTTTTACGGCGTCTTTCACTGTGCTCCCATTTCGATAGATCGCGCTTTGTTGAATTGGGCTTCTTGGGCCGACCTCTCGGATTATCCTTCACTTCAGGTTCTTTGTAACCTTGTTGGTCGGGGTGAAGTTGCGAGTCGATGAACTGATTCACGTACCGCAGCGTCGCGGGATCGGCCGCTTCAAGCTCCGCAGCAAGGCGATAAAAATAGTCACGATCAGTCCATCCGCTCGCCGGTGCACTCTGTTGACCTGTCCGCAAAAATAATTTATAAAATTAAACAACACACTCTATAAATTAATCAATCTCGTAATTGTACCTGGGTCCGTCAGCTCTAGTGTGCACCAGAACCTGTGGATGAATTGGGTAGTAATTTCCATATCTATAGTGAGTGCCTTCCTTAGCTCACAGGCACAAGGAAGTCCATGAGTGTACCAGAGTACACACCCGCAGAGATCGGCAACTTCTTCGCTCAACTCTCGCATCCTCTTAAGCTCATTATTCAATAAATCCATACAGTAATGCGAGACCCGCAATCTCAACGGCGCGAAAATGGGTTCCTTGTAACCCGTATGCATGTTAAGTCTCGAAGACTCCAGCGTGACCCTGGTAATACATTACATAACATTAGAACCAAATAAATAACGTAATAATAACACAGTAAATATGTATAACCTACGGAATATACCTGACTTGAGTCATTTGAGACTCAACCTCCTTGTGAATCTTCTCCCACACCGTGTCGAGCGAACCGGTCGACGTGTTCAACCACCGCTTCAACGTAGCGTGGGCACTCTCCACCCTACACGACGTTGTGTTGCCGAAATATAAAAAAGTGTTCGTCCACACTTTCACAAACTTCTCCTTGTGGACTAACCATGTCTGCTCCACATAGCGTAGCACGTCAGTAAATTGTATGTATGTAGCCTTCAAATCATCTACGGCAGTTTGGTATTTCTCCAACGTGCTCGCCTCGACAACCTTCTTCCACTTGCCGTGCGTAAACTTCTGAGCGAAGAGCTTATTATTTTTTGCTTTTCGATACACCCTGTCTTCCACATCCTTGTTGATGTGCCACGTGCAAAGTAAGTGGGCCGACTGAGGGAAATTCATCTGAATAGGATTAATCAAACCCAACTCTCTGTCAGTGACAATGGCTGTAGGATATACATCAGAAGGTAACAGAAGTCTCAACCACTGTAGGACCCAATTATAGCTGTACTCGGTCTCGTCCTTCATAATTGCATAGGCAATTAAGAAGTTCTTATTGCACGGCGTCATTCCAATCATTTCCACCAATGGCATCTTGTACCTGTAAAAATGAAAGCAACATAGAATCAAAAAACCTATTCAAACATACTAACAATATTCGCATTAAATTGATATTTATAAAGTAACATAACATACCTGTTGGTTTTGTACGTGGAGTCTATACCGACATACCAGTAATATGTCCGGAACAGATAGGCTGATTGAGGATGCGACATAGAGACACGTGTCAATGCCTGTGTGTCCGGATCAACATCTACGTAATATATATAGTTGTTGGCCTTAGCCAAATTCAGAAGTTGGGCAGCCACATTTCTACCCTGCAAATCATCTTTCCGCACTTTAGACTATAGTTGTACACTTGTTTACAAGTAGCGTTGTCTACAGGGTTTTGCTCCTGAATCGCAGCCAAAATTGATGCCGGTCTTGCCTGAGCAGAAGTCATATCACGGACAATCTTTTTGGACGGACCGCTAAGCCCGCTCATCTGTCGATGACCCTCGGGATTAACAGCCAACGCATGATTATGAAATCCTTTCTCATCATCTAAAGGAACCGAGATATACCATTTTTTTGATTGAGAATCAAATTTGACTCTTAACTGAAAAAGGCATTTAGTTTTCGATTTTCTCGTAATAGCATTAACTACCTTTCCTACACGGCTTCTGTAACGTTCCCCCCGATCACACCTCAACAACCTATTCTTTCCTTCTTTTTCGTGTCTCGAGATGACCAATGTGAAACCCCATATGATTGCAATATCTTTTGCCCATTCAACAGCTTCGTCAAC